ATTATTAAACTCACAACAGATATAAAACAGACAATGACAGTAGCCTTTACTGTCATTATTGAAGTTATTCACTTACTTTATTGTTGCTCAAACTAAGTAGTAAAAAAATTAAAATAGTAAAGTAAATGTGATACTATTTCCAAAATTGGACTGAAATAATTGATACTAAATTGGTTAATAAGCAATAAAAAGATCCTATGATAACTTATTTGTGAGTAAACACTTTTTTTGTGACATTTGTTGAATAATGCCTTCACTATTTTTTGTCAATGAATTTTTGCTCTTCTTTTTTCCAGGTCAGCTCACTGGCAAGAACACCGGTGCAGGCAAAAAAAAAAAAAAAACAACATATAACCCCGATTCCCTCTTTGGTCATCATCCGGCAGAAAAACGGAGGCCGTGGGGCTGGAGTGTGTTCTTATGGCCGAGTCAGAGACTGAATGTGACACGCCAGGGCTTGACACACTTGGGTCGGAGTGTGTCATAGCCCATAGCCATGTCGACCTTCATTATGGAGCCGAAACAGAGATCATGACGGAGGAAAAGCGTGGATTGGAGTTGGAGATCCACGGCTCAGACTTAAAGATCCAAGGACTCGGGGGAGAACTTGGGGCTGTCGCATGTGTGGATGCGATCGTTGCTGAGACAGACCATGACTATATCAAGGTGGAGCATGCTGACATGCACTGTTTCACAGCTGCAGAAATCAAGACAGAAACGGGCGAGACTTTGCTGGGAGAGGTGTTGCTCAAGACAGAAGGTGAGCATGTGGTGAAAATGGAATCTGATCATGGCGGCGAGTTGACAGTGGAATCTGAAAATGGCGTAATCATACATGAAGCTCATGGCCTACAGTGCAACGAATGTGGGGAGATCTTTGGCAGCATAGCTGATCTTCACCAACACTTTGAGATCCACAAGGACCTCAACCCGTATATCTGTATCCACTGTGGGGAGAGTTTTGCTGTCGAAGCCAGTCTCAAGCAGCATATGAAAATTCATATGAAAGAAAAACCGTACGTTCCCCCAGGAGTCGACTTGATCGGTAAAGATGTTATCGATGCCTACAGCCTTAAGTCTCATCAGATGATTCATTTGCCAGACAAGCCCCACAGATGCACAGAATGTGGCAAGAGCTTTGCAGCTGCCATAACGCTGAGGGAACACATGAAGATGCATTCTGAAGACAAACCATACAAGTGCACACAGTGCAGGAAGAGCTTTGTCCGTAGGAGGCATTTAAAGAAGCACCAGGAGGTCCATGCACGCGAAAAGCCATACACCTGTGGCCAGTGTGGCAAAGGCTTCGCTACGACTTCCAACCTGAAGCAGCACCAAAAGACCCACACAGCAGTCGTGCTTGGAGACAAACCCCATCGGTGCGCACAGTGTGGAAAGTGTTTTGCGGCCGCTGCAACTCTTCGAGAGCACCAGAGGATTCACTCAAGCGAAAAGCCGTACAAATGCAACATGTGCAGGAAGAGTTTTGTCCGCAAGCGTCACCTGAAGAAGCATCAGCAAGTCCACGCTGGGGGGAAGCCCTACACCTGCAGACATTGCAACAAGGGCTTCAACCACTCCTCATCCCTGTCTCGCCATAATAAGACCCACCTGCAGAACCCGGTGTTTTCTCCACCTCAGCCTGGAAAACCCATCACTTTCGTCTCGCCTCCAAAGCAACGAGTACTCCAGGAAGGAGAAAAACCGTACATGTGCCACCACTGTGACAAGGGCTTCAATCATTCCTCCTCTCTGTCACGGCACCAAAGAGTCCACTCGGATGGAAAAACGTACACCTGCGGTCACTGTGGCAAAAAGTTCAATCACTCCTCCTCTCTTGCGAGGCATCAGAGAGTTCATTTGGAGAAGCAGCAGGCGCTCGCGTCGCCACTGCAGACGCAGCAGCAGTTACAGCCACAACCACAATCGCCACAGCCACCAACGCCACAACCGCAGCAGTACACTGCCATCCCTGTTGGTAAGGCTTTCTCCAACAATGCCTTCCCAAAACAGCTCATCCTGTCTGTCGAGAAACCATACAGGTGCTCTCACTGCGGAAAAGGCTTTAACCATTCTTCCTCTCTCTCCAGACATCATAGGATCCATGTAGATCATAGACCAGGGCCCCACCCTTAGAGGCAGCCCTTAGCCCACATTACCACTTTTCATATGTTTCTTTCCCCCCAAATCCTTATATCTATATCACAGCACCACGGAAAATGGTCGGCCAACTTCTGCAGACAAAGAGGTCATGTCAGCATCTCGTTCTGGTAAAGTGGAGCAGCTCAGAATAAATGGACAATAATTCAGATTTATTCAAAAGGCAGGGACTCGGCTTGAGAGACTGTGCAACATGCAACTCTAAACTGAACCCAATTTTTTTGTGTGCAGCTCCAAGATGGTATAGAATATAGTGAAGGAATTTCTCGTGATTCTGTCTCACTTGCTCCAGGACATCCAGAACTCTTTTAAAAGAAAAACAAATGTGGTTTGAAAATCTACAAGATAAAATAGTAACTTTGGGTAAATACACTTCTCATCTTTTTTCAGAGTTCCACTCATGTATCTTCAGGTGCACACATTTGCTTTTCAGCTGCGTCTTTATTAAAAATGTCAAATACAACTGAACAGAAACTGTTGCCCGAGTTGAATATTTTTTTTTCCCCTGCCAGATGTAACTCATATGAAGCAAATATCAAAAATCCATTGTAGATAATTCTTGATTTTCTTTTATATGTATGTATAGTTAACTAGTGTGCTGTTCCAGACGATACAATTTTTGATAGCAAGACTCACTCGCCACGTTTTTTTTTTTCTTCTTCTTCTTACTTTTATTTGTTTTAAGTGTTGGATATAAAAACGAAAAGAAAAATGTTGCAACCTTTTCCAGAAAGTTGGGCTCTGTTAACATGAGCCGCCTTGTATATTTATGAGATTGGATTTTTGTATGTCTGGTTGAGCACGGCTTCATAAACTGTACAGAGAGCAATACTTGTCGAGACCCCAATCTATTCTGACATGCAATCTAGCTATGAGGAAATGCATATTAGAAAATAAAAATCTTCTGGGTAGCATATTGCAACATGACCCGTGTCCTAATTATTTACTGTGTGGTTTCAACTTCACCTAAGATCCAAATGTACATTATTGCTTTGGAATCTAATTACCTGTGTATAGTTATAGGTAACACATATTCTTGTTGACCTGCAAACTTTTCGTTGTTTGATCTAAAACAAAAAAAAGTTGTGTATACTAAAACATGAGAATCTCATTTTACAAGATTTTTCTGAAGTCCAATGGATTGCGCTCTATTTACTGTTCTGTGTAAAATATCTTTTACATACTGACGTATTTTTTTAGATATGGCTTGGGTTATACAAAAGAGAATGAGACGGGATTTTATGAGAGTTGAACATTTGGTGAGCAATATCTTTATTTGGATAACAGTTGTGCGTCACACTGTAGCATAGTTCTTTTCCTTGTTAGTTAGGTGCCTTATTGCATGCAATGTAGAAATGTATGCCCAGCTGTTATTTGAGAAGTTAGGGTTTTCAGGATTTTTTTTTTCTTTTTAGTTCTTACTCATTAACTTACCCTACATTTTAATTTGTCACCTTTTTTTTTTTGCTTTCATGTATATTGCAATGTGTTTACACTGTTACAACTATTATTGTTTTATTCCCCCTTTTGATTTTTTTTTTGTCAATGGCCTCATTGAGAAAGTGGTGTAAAAGATCCATATAGACTATTCTTAAGGGTAAACCTTGTAACACATCTTCCCCATTTGAGTGGCACATATATGGATAAATAAAGGTTGTTGACTCTCTCTCATGGTGTTGAATTAATGCAGTCTGGAGTAGTACTAAACTAATAGTCACAAATCCCAAAATTTACTGAACCTGCACTTTCACTGTTTAAACACATGGCGTCGCTGTTTACCGTCAAGCACGTCAAACAATTGAGTTTCTTACAGCATTGTCTTAAAACTAAAGGGCATCAATTTTCGGTGAGTAAAAACTGGTTGGATAGGCGCGAAGCCTCTTGGGAATGACCTTTGACCTAAAAACGAGCAACATGTCTCCTACGTGAACTAAACAACACAATGGTTTACATTTCTTCACGGCTGGAGGCTTTTAGTCCGGAGCAGAGGAGCTCAGCTATTATGTTGTAGCATTAAGTGTATGTTTACGGTAGATTCACCCTCTTTTTCAACATTCAACACGCTTTGTTCCTTCAGCAATAGCATTTTTCTTGCATAAAGGTTTTTTTGTTTTTTAGATTTTCAGTTACTCCCAGCTGTAAATTTCTGCAGCTCCTCCAGAGTCACTGTGGGCTGTTTCTGTGATTACTGCTCCTTGCTCATCTTGTCGATTCAGGTGGGTGGTCTTTATCTTAATATACTCAAGATTGCTATTTGCATCATAAAATCTCCAAAGGGCATTAATAGTTTTGCTAATTGTAGAAGGTGCTCAGTTCTCAAGAAGCAGAATAATGTTCTGGCCAATACAAATATTACGCTGATCCTGCTTTTAAGTCAGCATTAGCAGAAGGAATAGGTGAAATGGAGATGGCTCACAAAAAATAAGCAAAGAAGCTCTTACCAGTTAAGCTATTTCAGGAAGCCATTTACATAAAGTAGTGCAATTTTTAAAAAGAAATGCATTTAATCTTTTTTCACAAAAAAATACCAAACTGGGGAAAAAATAATCCCAATATTATCTTTTGTTTTTGATTCTTAAAAAGATCAAAAATAAAAAACCTGATGATGATATAATCAGTTTTTTTGCACTATTATGATATAGTGCAAGATGTAAAACCTTGCATTAAATTAGCTGCCATGCTGACTGAGCTAAAACACCTTAACAGCTGTTAAGGTGTGTGTATATAATATATATATATATATATATATATATATATATATATATATATATATATATATAAATAAATAAAAAGTTGTGTATGAAGTCCATACATGTATCATGAAACAAATGATATCTTGGTGAATATATAATATATTTTATTTTTGTAACTCAAGAACAAAATTGAAAAACTAGGAAATGTGCTTTTCTACACATTTGAGCTAAAAGGACAATGAAAAAAAGCATTTATATTGCATACAGTACAAACTATGACAGCACATACACAAGTAAGTCTGGATATATCTTAGCGGAATTTAAGTATTTACATTTATTGTGTTCACTGTACATTTTTACACACCTTTGTTGTCATAGGTGTCCATATGGGGAGGTAAGCATATCATGTGAGCCTTTTCAAGAAGACTGATCAGCATTGCTTTACCAAGGATCTGCTATACGTTCATGACAGGAGTTAGCTGTAGCAGTGAGCTCTGTGGTCGGATAGTGCTGCTCTTTGCATGCAGCTTCTCCAGGTTCTGCAGGAAGCCCCGTCTCTTGAGACCTTCGAGGATAACGGTGTTGCTCGATGCAAGGCTGACACGGGTCCTGTAAGGAACAGAAAAATACCACTTTGGTAATGTGACATCATTCAACACATGACCAGTGCGACCAGGTGCACAGAGAGTTCAATGTCGGGAAAGAAATTATTTTCTTCCTCTTCGATTTTAAAATGAGTTTTTAAGTGCTGCACAGCAATTACGCCTAATTATCAGCAATGACTCCCTGCTGTTCAAACACTGGATGCTATAATTGGCCACAAGGTGTTTGCTCAGCTTTATTGCAATTTACCTTTAAAGTACAACAACACATTTTGGGAGCAAGGCCAGCCACAGACATGCAACCCCAAGGTTAACAAACTTCATTTCTGTGTTTACATTGGCCAAAGGCACTTCAGAAAGGCAGGCCGTGGTGTGTGGGCGCACATCTGGAAGGATACGATGTTTTGCAAAAGTTTTCACCCCTCTTGGAATTTTTCACATTTTGTCACATTACAATCTCTTAACGTCTATCTTTTATGGCACAGAGTAGACCATCACAAAGTAATTCATATTTGTAAAACTAAAAGAAAATATTTGGCTTTTGACCTTTTTTTTGTAATAAATACTAAAGTATTCAACCCCTCTTAGTACAGAACCACCAGCGTGTTGCTACCACCTGCTTGCAAGCTGTTTGTTTCTGGCCCCTTTTAAAAATACATTTATGCGCCTTATTTGAATTGAATGTTTTTCATATTTTGTAGACTATATCACCTCAGATTTATAACTTACTGAAACATGAAGTGATGGATCATTGAATAGTGGTGCCCAAACACTTTGACCAAATGAATCACCATGATTACAGAATATTGAGGTGGAAACTTTCTGCCACACATACAATTTTGCATGTAGGCCAAAACAAAAATCATTTCAGCTTCATTTGACCGGAGCAATTTTTTCCATCTTTTCTACCCACAACAAAGCTTGATGCTTTTGCTTTTCTTTTAACAATTACTTCTTTTTTTCCAATAGGGGCCAGATTTACAGAGTGCACAGCTAAAAGTTATCCAGTCAACAGATTCTTCCATGTGTAACATTTGTCTGATTTTATTTGCAAGCAATTTGAAACTTGTTGTATACTTTGATTTCCAAATTTGTGATTGCAACAAGATAAAACGTAAAACAGTTCAAGGGATGGGGATAATATGACACATTATGTACTGACCTTAGAATTCAATGGCTTTCACACTACATTAATAGGTAAGTTTTGTGAGGAATTACGTAATCATTTTACGTTACTTTTTAATAAAACATACATAAAAACATGAAGACAGGCCCTTACCGAGGGGAATCTATTCCACTGTCTCCAGTGATGCTCTGGTTCTCCACCATTTCCTCTGCTCTTCTGGCCCCAGTTGGTGTGCTCTGGATAACTTTGTGGGCCTGAGAAACACAATTCTCATCAAATCCGTCCTGCCGCTCTTCCTGCACATCCACAGCCCAGTGTGCAGACTCGCCGTCACCTTCGTCTGCTGATTTTCGGACAGTCTCTGAGTCTGATTCGAGCTCGCTGGCCTGGCAGTAGTCAAAGATGCTGCTGTCTGCACCTTCGCATAGCTCTGAACAGTTTCCATCCAGAATAGGACCACATCCCTTCTCCCCCTGGATCAATAGACCCTTCTCAGGACTTTGCTCACGTAACGTCCCCGGTGATCTAGGTCTTTGATGATGAGGTCTCCAGCTGCTCTCTGCTGGTCTTGTGGCTATGAGGGAAGCTTCTTTCTGGCTCGTGGGAGTAATTAGATTTGTTAAAGTGCTATGTGTTAAGTCTTGTTTGCAAGCAGCTTGCGGTTGTTGAAACATAACTTTGTAATAGGAATGTTGATGGGTTTTAGATTCATGGTCATTGTAAACCAGCTGGTGATAGTTTGCAATACCAGTTCGGTAATTATCATCTACATCAATCATCTCCTCGGTGTTCAGACACAGGGAGCTGCAGGCATCTTCCTCTTCTGGTCCATCTGCTGCCTCATAGAGCCTACAGTCATCCTCTATGAAACCGTCACTGTTTACTGTTAGCGGTGTACTGTCAGGGGTCAGTTCCAGAACATCTCCATTGTTAATGGTTCTGCTGGCTGATCGGATCTCCTGCTGATCCTCAATAGTCATGGAGAGATCCTTTGGCCTTGGAATATTATCCCTGTGTTGAGTGGAAAGTCGTAGGGAGTGTTTCCGCTGTAAAGAGGGCTTGGGCCATGGCAGATCTGGATTATGTGCAGGGTTTATTGCAGACTGATGTGGATAGGTAGGGGAAACAGTAGTCATATTGGAGTGTTGCTGGACGTTAGTGAGACTGTCATTTTTTATTTTGCCTTGTTCTGGTACATTTTTGTACTGTTGGACATCTTGAAAATATCCATTTTTGCCTTCTCTCTCCCAAATCTCCTTGCTTCTTTGTTCATCTTGATGCCGAATTTTGTCATCTATCCTGAGCGTGCTGCCATGTAGATATGCTGAGCTGTATTCCAAACCAAGCTCTCTACTGACCTTCTTGTCTGGCAGGAGCAGATGTTCAGCAACAAAGTCTGTCTCATGGTCACAGCCGTTTCTGTCCTCAGACGAGGGGAATTTCAGGCCATTCTCTTCTTCTGCTGCCATCAGCTTTGCCCGATGAGGATCCCATGACTTGGAGCGGTGACCAGTTCGTTCCTTTCTTCCAGACACAGATGTTTTGCCCTCTTTGACTTCTTTGGCCTCTCGTCGTCTGTGCTCCCTGTTGGCGGGAGCTATGTTCTCAGCATCCTTGATTGGATGAGTCTGGAAAGGATTATCAATGCGTTTCTTGTAGAGACTCTTTCCCTCAACATTTCCAGGCTCCTCTGCTTGATCTGCAGCATCAGCAGAGATTTCTCCCCTAAGCCTTGTTGGAATCAAATCCTCCTCATCTGGATAAATGTCGGAACATATGGGGGCCTTGCTTTTAAACTTGTCTTTGTCCCTTTCCCTTTGCTTTTCTCGAGATGAGTGGACCCTCCTCTTGCTACGAGAAACCTTCTGAGACAATCTTTTCCCTCCACTGGCTTTAGACAAGTGGTGATGCCTGTGTTTGGAATAAGTTAGGATGTCGGTTGACATTCCCTTGTTGACTCCCTTGTCTTCGCTGTCTAGACCTCGATCCAGAATCTTGTCCACTCCCCTTTCCCTTCTCTCCTCCAGTTTCTTCATTAGGACGGTGTGCCGTGTCAGGTTGTCCACAGTCAGTTCAGGGTTGATGCGTTTGATAATGGCATGCTCCAGGTCTCGGGGCAAGTTGTTCAAGTCTTCCTCATCTCTCACAGGCCACTCCTCCGGAGGGAACTGACCTGAAAATGATGCGTACTCCTTCTTTGGCTTCTCCTTTTTAGCTCCATTCCTTCTGAACAAGCTGAGACCAAACTTCCTCACAGGTTTATCCTTTTCTTTCCGATTTGTGGCATTTGTAGTGGCTGTTGTTTTGCTGATCTCACTAGCTTGGCAATCAGCAGCTGTGGATGTGGACTGATGCTGCACTGAGGGTTTATGATCTGACGCCCGGGGCCACTTTAGGCTTCTTCCCGTGCATTCGCTTATGGACACAGACACAGAATGCTGGTCAGGAACAGTGGAAGGAGGGACGGTGGCCGTTTCAGTGGCGGCAGTGGTGTTGGGGGAATTTTGATGAGGGCTAAAACAGCTGCATGACCTGCAGTGGGCAACAGGGACTGTTTGAGTGCCCTCAACACAGACTTCATTGCTCAAAAGGTAAGTAACAGGCGGGGTTAGAGGAGGGTCATCAATTGAACCAGAGGTCCACCAGTTCTTCTCTCGAACCATGTTGTTGGTGATGAAATATGTCTGAGGTGTGACAATGAAGTAGCCCTCGCCGGTGTGGTAAATCTTGCGCTCCTTGATCAGAGTTCCAAGTGCGTTATAGAGGATGTCCTGAGTGGGAATGGTTATCCCTAAGACACAAAAATACAGAAGAATGTGACAGACAGCAGGTGGTCAAGAGGATACATTTTATCTAGCCATAAGATGATTCTAACAAACAAAAGTATATTAACATGTATGTGTTGTTTAAGTGTTTTTAAAACGGGAAGAAAGCTGTACAACTGCTCCCTCCAAAATTGATACTTTCAAATTATATATTGTGTCTTCACAAAAGTATTTATGCTCATTGAACTTTTGTCATCTAACAACGACATACATCGATGAGTTTACTTGGGTTTAAAAGAAGAAAACAAACACAAAGTTGTACTTTATAAATGGAAAAACAATGAAACATTGTTTTTGGATTTAAAAAAAAAAAATACTAAAAGGTTTGGCATGCTTATGTATTCAGCCGCCCTTCGCTAATACTTCAAGGAACCACTATTTGTTGAAATCACAGCTTTTTAGGCAGTCGCAGAACAGCTGCATTTATCCTGATATTAAATTACACATATACTATTTACTAGTTGGAAGGTTCCTAAAGGCAGATGGTTGTGCTGGATTTCATTTGATGGTATCCAATATAAATTGAATGAAATTGATACTTTCTGTTTGTAAAAACTTATTTTCTTTACCTTCCACTTCACATTTATGCACTACTGTGAGTTAGCCTAACACACAAACTCTAAATAAAATACACAGGGGTTTGTGGTTGTAATGTAGCAATATGTAAAACACTTCCGGGGATATGAATATTTTTGCAACCAATCTTAAGACTTTTTATAAATTCTCTCTGTGTTTTCATTGAACAGGCAATTTCCCTAAATGTCTGGGGATGCATTAAAAAACAGTGACTGCACACAATTATGACAGCAACAATAGTGTTGAAAGAGATATATAGGTTTTGGAAGCAGACTGCAGTCCAAAATTGTGTTGAATTTAACAATTCAACACAAATAGTTAAAAAGTAAATTGTGTAAAAAAAAATTGCATTGTTCCTAGATTTTTTTTTTTGTCTTGTTTATGCATGTTAAGACCATGTTGAACAACTTTTTGCATATCACAAAAGGACTTTGTATTAAAGGACTCAAAGTGCTGAATGAGTTAAACCTTTATCAAAGCTGTCATAATTAATGAGATCGATAACATTCTTACTGAAAACAAAAAAATGTTTATATGCAAAAGACAGGGGAAAAAGTAGATTTTCTTAGTCTAAACATCTTCATTTGGTCTTTTTTTTTAGCTATTATCAGTGCAACAAACACAGTAAAGGGTTTAGATTTAAGAAAATATTTGAAACCAAGGTTCCTTCCAAAAATATAGCAAAGTGAAAAAATTAGGACTACTTTCTAATTGTATATTATATGTGCACATGTTTATGTTTTATGTTGATGTATAATTGTGTAATACTTTTTTATTGATCTCTAGAAAATAAATTGATTTAATTACAAGTCAGCCACAAAAAATGTGTTTGTTTTGAACAAAAATGTTAAACAGGTCTTTCATTTAGCTTTTAATCCATGTTATTTTATGTGAATTTCTCAGGATTGTAAAATTTCTTACTAAATATCTATAACTATTTGGGAAAAACAACTCGAGCTGTTGTAGGGCGCTCTCTTTTTTTTTTTTTTAAACATGACATTTGAGAAAATATTTTATGAATTACCTGGATGGGCTTTGCTCATGTAGTTGACAAGCGCCTCCTGGGTGACGATTATCTGGGCAGAGTTCATGTCGGAGATGACAGAGCACAGCACTTCAGCCAAGGGAATGAACTGCGACTGAGGAACCGGGGACATCTGCACTGGGGAGAGATCACCTGAAACAAACACACATCATCTTGAGGAGCGGGTGAAACAGGTGGGACCCGCTTCAGGAGATCTAAACACACCTGGGTCAGGGAAGGTCTCCTTCCATTTGCTACTGCCAGTGAAAACAACTCAAAAGTACCGAAGTTGACATTCTTGCCCTAACCACCCTCTAAATCATAACCGTGGTGGTCTATTTGTGAGTTATATGAACCGTGCCTGACTTGCTTTTCAAATTCCAGCAACACGGAGACGGACCGCAGAATTCCCCGACTCCCACAAAAACAGCCACAGGTCCGCCTGCTGTGCAGATCAGATATCCTGCCACCCGTATCATACGGCCATGCACCCCCAGGAGCAGCATTTACACAAACAGGTCGCCAACACAAAGAAAACGTATCGAAGTGCTACACTAGATAATCTCTCTATATGTACATCTTACATAAAGTTCATTGGAAACATATTTGCATAAAAGTTGTTCCATCATTGATTTTAATCTAGTCGTTTTAGAAACTTTGCTTAACCAAAACAAAAGGTTCACAGTTTTCCCACAAGGAAAACAAACTATTTAAATAATGTAGTGGTTATGTTAGATGAAGAAGGGGCTGAGCTGTCAACTGATCACCACCTGAAAGCATGTTGGATCCCTGGCAGGAAAAGCTCCCAGATCAGGGCTGTAAATTAGGAGGTGACCCTCACTTGGAGAAAATTCCTTATTTGCTCTGATGTACGTTTAGAGAAACTGATTTTAAATGGGTCTCCAATGAAGCTTCCAGGAGGTGTGGTCTAAAGTTCAGTGGTGCTGTTGTGAGGACTACCAGAAGACACATCGGTGGCTCCAGGTATTGACTTTCTCTGAGGAGTCTGAAACCAACAGACTGCTGTTTCCATGGTTGCAGAAGCAAAAATATTAGAAAAATTTGGTAAAGCAATTTTATTTTGGTTGTTTGAGACTGAAAAGGAAAGTATGACCCATTCCAGGTGGTGTTCTACTTTGGAGGTGTTTTGGGGCATCCCCCACTAGGAGACAGACACACAACCCAGTGGAAGAACCACGTTTCCCTTCTCACTATCAGTGAACAAGAGAGTGATACTGGGAACAGTGATATCTGGGTTTCCTCTGTGACCTGATCTCAGATAATGAATTTCTGTATTCTCAGTGATAACAACTATATTTGGCTTGCCTCATGCTGCCTTGTTGAACTAGGTACTGTGTAGCGCTTGTTGAAAGAGGGACACAAAATCACTGATATTCTAACAAGAAAGTAGGGGAAGCACCAAAACAAGCCATATTGTGCTGCTGGTGAATGATTAGCAAAGGGACTGAGTTACCGCAAACGTTTTTCTCGAGGGTATGTGCATAACCTTACCCACAAGAGTGGGAAATTGGTTTTAGTTAATCAGCTACACCACACAGATATTTGAACCCCACCACATAACCAGATGGACCTCCGACTTGTTTTTGTTTTTCCACAAGTTTCCTTGTATGTTTTTAGGTTTTGGGTTTGTGGTCGGGAGGAAAATTTCTGCATAAACTATGTGGATTTGGAATAAAACTTAAACATGTGTCGTGTCTGTGCGACAGTGAGCCCCAGGGCCGCTCACCAGAAACATTCCCAAGCTCACACTTGAAGTAAACTAAACATTTACAGCCCTCACACTTGAGCCACTTACAGACAAGGCAGGGAAAATATACATCTAATCAAATGTGTGCCCTGGTGAAGCATGACTGAACACACACACACAGGACATTGATACCGACAGGTCACAGCTAAAAGTCTTAACTAGTATCAATAAAATACGCTGAAGCCTGCGATTCTAAAATGACAAAAATTGGAAAGATTCAAAGGATATAGATACTTTTGCATGGTCAGAATAATTACATTTAACATGCATAGAGTTATATAATCATTTGACTTTTTGACGAATGCGTCAAAATGGCATCAAAATCAGTTTTTTGATGCTCACCGAAACGGATTTAAATTAAAAACCTAGATAAGAAATATTAAACACTGAGTCAGTGTAAGAAAATATCAGTGCGGCGAGCTCTCTTCAAGCTCACAAGGCTTACAGATAAGGTTACATCTGTATAAAATTGATCCTGAGGGATTGTAAAAGAAAAAAAAAAAAAGAGAAAGAAAACATCTGCGCTCCCTCAGCTGAGAAGAGGCATTAAGCTGCCTAAACCTCAGCAGAGATATCTTTATAGCAGCTGCACTCAGCAATGAAGTAAAGCTGCTGACTTAGCTCCTCATTGTTATTAACTTCCTATAGGAATGTCTGGCTGGCTGTGCACATAAAGCACCAATGTTTTACCACTCTCAAGAGTCACAGGTTCAACTAAGATATGACAGAAAGAAAACATCTTTATGGCTGGGAAAAGTTTACCTAGTGCTCTTTTACAGCAGCAAGCAAACCTAGATCCAAGGATGATGTCTTTTCAGATACCTGCAATTATGACCTGCATTAAATTAAACTTTTATTCATAGGGAGAAAAGGAAGCGTAACCGAAAACAGGACAGTGGAGGATTAAGGTTTACTGAATCCAACATTAGCAGGCGTGACCGCCAGGGAGGGTTACTGCCTTCTCTCCAGGGGGAACGGACCTCTGTGTTGCTGTAATCCAAGACTGGGAATCCGACATTACACCCTTTGTCATAGCCGGCATGAATACCCAGCTGAGCGCCATGGCAACACAGTCCTGATCCACAATGGGAGGGGAGGATCGGCGGCTTCAGAGTCAAAACAGGATGAGACTTGTGTTAAAGCGAAGCAGCATAATTTCAGTGGAGCCCCCTCAAAGAGGCACTGATGGTCTGCACTCAATGGAAACAACATATTAGAAAGGCATGACTTCATGTTCAGCCCCTTTTACTCTTACACCTAAAAATACAATTCTGAATCAGTCTTTATTGAGAGTTTTGTTAATCAATAGATAGGTTCCATCTTCATGTAACTTAATCTCTGTTAATACAGTGGTTCTTTAAAGGTTTCAGATTTTTGTTAGAGAGCAAACAACTTTACCACAGTTACTCTGGAGGAGCTGCAGAGATTTTCCTGGGGGAGTCTATTCACAGTCAGACAGTCAACTCTGGCCCTCATGAGGGAGCTGAAAACTTCTGTTGACAGAATGCCAAAACATTTTGATCAAAACCAGGCAGGAAACACAGCAAAGATGTGAAGAAAAGGGTTCAAGACAAAAGATACCAACACTTAGCTCATTGCCCATCACACAGATTGCATCATCCTGATGCCTATGAGAACGAGGCTTGAGGTAAACTTAATTTTATATTTTAAAATTCTTAAGAAGAGTACTCCTTAAGACTTTTACAAAAATACATTTATGCGCCTTATTTGAATTGAATGTTTTCTTGTTTTTCATATTTTGTAGAGTGGTTGACAGAAATGGGTCTCTGTGTCACCTCAGATTTGTAACTTACTGAAACATGAAGTGATGGATCATTGCCCAAACACTTTGACCAAATTAACACAGATAGATAAACATTCAGAAATGTTCCAATATATGTCTAGTTGAAGTAAAGAAAGAGGTGAACGCAGACCTTTCTTTCTTTTAATCATATTGGGATAACCTCCTCAATTTTACCATCAGCTCCCTTGTTGCTCCTAACTGTACCTCAATATAATTTGATGTGAAACTGTTTTGATCCACAAACTTCAGCATGAATTCCAAAAATCATGCCATCTTGAATGCTTCGCATAAACAACAACACATTTCTCCCCAAGTCAAACTATCGGGTTCATAAGCCGCTGCCTGGGGAATATGGAGAAGAATTTCGAACCGACTCTTCATGTTACAGAGATGATTGACAAAGACCTTCTCTCCTCTTCCCCACTGAAATGTCTTTGGCTGATGAAACTGATCAATGCCACATGTATTCACATGGCTGTGCTGGTTAGCAGGCCTCAGAGCCACATGAATCCTATTTCAAGTGTGATTACATTAAGTTTAGTCCCCTGAAAAAAAAAAAGAGGAAGAGAAAAAACACAGTAAACAATATGCAGCGTCTCTATTAGCTGTGGATCTCCAGATTATCCAAACTGAAGATACAAAAAGTGAAAACTTTCCAGACATGATCTAAATGCTTCACATTTGAGGTAATTCTACTCTAAATTACAATCCGCTCAAGCAAAGATGTTGCGTGTTTCATTTGCCCAGATGTGGGCAGCCCCCACGCTTCCATTGCCCACAAACACGCATTTGGAAAAGCACAACAGAAACACACAAAACAGCTAAAAGATGATGTTTCAGACTAATATGTCATTTCTCTGCCATCCTGTTGCTGTTGACATTTTGAAAACAAATGCATGACCGTTTGAAGATCATTCCAAGGCTTTAACAAAGTCAGTAACAGGCTTTGCTTGGATTTGTTGTGTCATACAGTCTAGCAAAAGGCCCATAAAATTTTATATGCGCCACATTAATTTGAAATATATTGTTCTTATTAGTCATAGTGTTGGCATCGCAACACCAACTTTGTTTTCCACTGAAATATCTCAATAAATCTTGAATAAAGCTTATTGAGGAGAGTCTTCTAGGTGATCCATGACTTTTCATCAAGTGGTGTTCTTATAATTGTTTCAGGCTTTTAAATGAGATGCTTGAGTAACTCTGAGGGTTAGCTATCCAAATCCCCATTAAAAACCCTGTATTTTAAGTTCCCTTATATGATCATCCCATAACTATGAATGTAAAATAAGTGTGAAAGAAGAATTTTTGTTGTCTAGATGGGATTTTATATTATAGTAACTAGTTTCTCAGGAAATGTAATGAAATGCCTTTTTTGGAATTCACATCTCTAATACCGTCACTACAGCGCACATCATCACTTTCCTAAAATAATGGTCCAAGTCATTTTTTGCCAAAAGTGTTTGTCTTCTTTGCCTAAAGATATTTTAGAAAGACAGAGGTGATTTTTTTTATTTTATTTATTTTTTTTGGCCTAAATAATGTCTGGCAAAAAAAAAAAGACTTAGGTCATTATTTTAGGAA